AAAGTAAGGCAAATTCTGAGAAGTTAGCTAAATGATAAGAACAACATCCAGGCGATTGACAGCTATGACCTGCCAGTAATCAGACACCCAGTTGGGATAATAAGTTAGCCAGAAAAGGAAAACATCATGGGGGGAAAAACGACTGATAGAGAAGGCCGGACATTCTTCATACAGTAGTTGAAGCCATACTGTATATCAGTACAAGGTCCAAACTGTGAAGCTGAGAATACACATTTTGAACAAAGCGAATCACGTCGAAGATAACACTAAAGGCTGTGTTTCAGTTATCACCATAAATGGAGGTGTGGATAGAAAAGAAAAAGAAAAGAAAAGACCACCAGGTTGGCATAGAGTTATAAGTATGATTAGATAATGGGCTGTCAACCTGATCACGTTTGGTGGAAAGCAAAACCAATGAAATATAAAATAAACATTTGTTGCAAATGTGTTTAATCAAAACTTTCAAATAAAAGTGGAAGAAAAAGATGGAAAAGACAAATGAAAAAAACAAAAAACAAACAAAACAATGAAAGGTTTGAGTACTTCAAACTGTGTTCTTTAATTATATCAGTTTATCTGTTAATTTAGGAAAGGACTGACCTCTTTCTCAATGCAGGGGTTATGTTAAAAGAAAGCAGTGAAGCTTGTTTGACATGTCTTTAACAAAAATAAAAGAAACTAAAAAAAAGCCCTGCTCAACTTACCTCAGGGCGTGTGGCGCATCCATGCCCTAGATGCTCACCCAACCATAAGCTGATGAAGCCTCTCCCACTCTGGCTCACAGTTTGTCATTTAACTCAGCTAAATGTGTTGCAAGAAAACCCGTTGTTTTAAGATAGAAGAGAATATATTATTTTAAAGATTTTTCTGCTTAGATATTCGCCTTTTACATTAAGAGTTTTACCCATTTAAATGTAAGAAAACCAAAGAGGCAGGATGTGTGTTTAACATTTAATCATGCTTCAACTAAAAATGTCAATGCATTTTAGTAGGATATATATACATAATAGGATATATATATATATATATATATATATATAAGACCAACTCAGGGGTATATGTTCGTATTAACTACCCATTACTGATGTACCTTCTTGAAATCAGGCACAACCACAAGGTATTAGGAAAGAGAATATAGTCAAAGGGATAGCCGATATATGAAGACAAGATACTAGGTGCTTCTTAATTACTTAAATTCAGTGAATGTTTTGGCTGTTTTGATATATTCTTGAAATGTTTTACCTATATCTACAGATTTCTGCATGTGAATATACTACAAATGAAACACTGTTATTGACTTAAGCAAATAAAAACAAAAACATTAGAAAATAACTGCCTATACAAAGTAGAAATCTTATCTATAAAGGATGTCTTATCAGCTAACTTTGATCAAGAAAAAAACAAACAAAAAAAATAACTTTTTAATTATGCGTTCACACCAAATGCATTTTGGGCATCAAAGCATCTCATTTACATGCAATAGGGACGACGCTGAGAGATCCAGCGGCAAGTCCGAGCATCGGGAGTGGCCCCATCCAGGAAACACAGGCCAATATGTTATTGAGCATGTCGTCAGAAAGAGGTCACAATATTTCTTCCTTGTGTTCAACACAACACAGTTGCGCATGATTGGATAAGCTATAAATGTTTTGGTGGATATTGGCTGTCCTAAAAGAACCTTTGCAAAATTTTGGAGTTACACTGCAGATTCTTGTGACAAAAGATAACTTGCAATGAATGTCAAAAATTGTCTGATATTTGGATCTCATAGTGTAACATCAGTTATGATCTATGGCTACTAATTAGCAAATGCAGATCTGCAGCTACTTCTTGAGATGCAACACAGTAAGACACAAAAGAGAAGATGAATGCAAAGAAATCTACTTCAAGAATTTTTTAAACAACAGAAAAAAAGCATGTGCCAAAAACAACACAGAGAATATCACATATTAATTGAGAGACTATAGTAGCATTAACCCTGGAAAGTGTTAATAGATTAATAGCTTAATCGACATAAAGTTACCACATTGGCTTTATAGTTGAACTATAAAGTATGATTATTAATTAGTGCAATGTTAATACAAATAGGTAAGCAATGACTTATTAATTCATCCACTACGAGAATCATCTGCAACACTGAATTGTCAGACATTTAATTATGGAGGGAGCATTTGCATGAGGAGCAGGAGAAATGTCACAGGATCTAAATGGTTCTCCTCCATAAATGAAAAGGAAAGGTAATATGTTTTGAATTTTGGAATCTTTTGGAATTCATCTGTCATGAAGAGCTTGCTCTCTTTACTCCGATTGCAGCAATGAAATAGTGTACCTTCACAAACCGGTGAGAAATGTTATCCCTATTTTCTGATTTTAGCATGTATAAAGACTAATAGATATTTTGGGGAAAGAACAAAAACAAAATTTCTCTTCAATTATTTCCCTTATGTATCCGAATTGGACTTTGATGCGCTACATAATTATGGACTTTATGTCAAAATTCTTCTACAATTTATTAATTAAAGGACATTGCCATTTGATTGAACACATTCATCCAACATGTTTTATTTATTATAAACTGTTTTTTTTTTTTTACTGTGGTTATGCTTTGGTTGGATTCAGGTTTAGGTGTGACTTTTGCTTCTTAAATTGCACAAGTAAGATCCATTGGGCTTACGGCCATTACATCCTGAACACGCCTGATATCGTCTTATCTCGGAAGATAAGCAAGGTTGGGCCTGGTTAGTACTTGGATAGGAGACTGCCTGGGAAATCTGGGTGCTATAATTATTTTACTTTTTGTTTTTAATGAAGCAGCCTGCTTTTTTGTGAGAGTTTTCTTTAGCATTCCAATAATACATTTTTTTATTTCATATTCTCCTTTAAGTGCCAATATGTATAATTTGTCATTGCATATTAGTCAGAATATAGATGGAATGTAAAACAGCATATATAAAGGAACACTCATTATAGGAGTTTTTCTAAAACTAAACCAAGAAATTAGATAATGGACCCGCAAAACTTTTCATAAAAAGGTCAAATAAAGATTAGATTTTAACGTGCATTTAAATTTCATTACTTCAATTTGTAGTGTGGCTAAACATTATAACAGGGAAAATGTTATGTCTGTTGAGCTCCATATACAATAAATAGTAGTACCCAAAAAAGAGAAGATAGAAATTAAAGCAATTACCAAGTCAACAAACTAGATATGCAAAAGAAGGAAAGACTCTTTTGGTTTGCAAGTCACTTCTCGACTCTCAATGGAGAGGATGTTGTATTACATTTGATAAATGTAGTGTGTTGCAAAGTTTTGTCCAGAAAGATAAAGGGAGAGGAATAATGGGCTAAAGAAGAAAAATAAAAATCTATCAAGTTACCAAAGTCGAGCACCGCTCAGGAGAATTCGGAACTGCAACCGTTGGAACAGCCGTTTCCCTACGACTTTAAGATGGAGGTATTAGAAAAACCTGGCTGAACAACTGCTCAATATACATGGATCTAAATGTAAACTCAAATGCATTACTTTGTATTCATGTTTTGAATTAGTTCTTCCATTTGAAAACCAATAATAAAATGTCCAAACTGACAGATGTCACCTTATGCCATGACTGATGGCTGTTTAGATTTATTGAGTGATTGACAGCAATGACATTTCATGGTTAGAAGATCATTCTTAATAAATGCTCTGTCTCAAGCTTGACCTGTCACAGTGTCCTTAGTCTCTACAGTGGTTGAGCATGCTTCTTGATCTTTCATGTGTCTTCCTGATGTTAGAAATGTGTTATTTATTCCAATTTTCTTAGTGTCCATCTCTGGATATAGGTGGGTGTGACAGCTGTGCACATTGTTACCAGTGTCCTCAGGCAGGGCACAGCACACTCCATTGCCCACCATGTTATTTTAAATGTATTGACTTAGGAATCAAAAAGCCTTGCAAATACAGAGTATACAGACTAGATCTGTGCAGAGAGTCACCATTTCTTGCTCCTACGTATGTGGATTTTGTGCAAAATTAATTTAATTCATTTAAAAAAAGGCTTTATTGATCCTATAGTGAAATTAAATCTCTTTTCTTGTTTAGCAGTTCCTTAAGTTCCAATGCAATCCAGCATCTCTCTCTCTCTCTCTCTCTCTCTCTCTCTCTCTCTCTCTCTCTCTCTCTCGCTTGCAAGGTTATCTCATATTTCTTGTCCAGTGATTATTTTCCTGAAATCCTTGTTGTTCACAATATTGATGAGATACCTGTTTAACCAAATAAAAAGAGATGCCATCCTTTATTTCTGCATGTCTTTGAGAGGAAGATTAATAGGGTGTTTCCTGCATTGTTGCAGTAATAGTGCTTTGGCTTTCCATGCCCCTGTAACAGACACAGAGGTTGAACAACCTCTCCTTACAAAACAGAAAACTTTGTGGTAGGTTTTTCTTATTCATTGTTAACAAACATGGAGTTTTCATAAAACCTGCTTCATAAATTGGACATCAGCAGTGCTGTAGTTGCCAACCTTGAATCTAGGGAATACAAAACATGTAATCACTATAGCATTTCCAAGCTAAATTACTAATACTTCAACAGAAAGGGTTACTATTGCACAATATGTTACAGATCTGAAAGTCGTTTTTTTAGATCAATAGCCAAATAATAATCAAGCAGCTTTATCACCACGGAATCTGTAAATTATTTTGTTAAAACAGCTGACTTCAAATTTCATAAAAGCATTACACCTTCAATCAATTTTGATGGATATTGCAAGTAAAAAAAAGTATTTTACACAAGATTTAGTCTTTTGAAAATTCTTTACACAACAGTTTCATAGACATCTGTGTTGCATACATGCTTAATTATGTGTGTGTTTACACAAAATATAAAATATGTAAAAGAGAAAAAAAAGTGATCAGCAGTGAATTCTAGCTGAGCTGGATATTTTTCTGTAGTTTTTTCATCATACATCTGAGCTGTGTCTGGGTCCTGAAGGAGAATTAATGGAGTGTGTCTTTTTCAGGCATTGGGAGGCGACTCCCTGCTGTTAATGCAGTGAGAGAGAAGCAGAGGAGCAGCCAGACGAGCAAAGACAGCCGGCACCTCACACTGGGTGATGACTGCACTAACTCCATCTTGCACACTAATAATACAACATCAGTGGCTCTTCGTGCTGAGCTTGCAGACCAGTGGAATCACCAACTCTGTTTCATGTTGAGAATTATACTCACCTTATCAAAAGTATAAGAGTGTCCTATTTCGTCACCCTTTACACAGTCTTAGTCAGTTTACACTTTTGATCTTTTTAAACATAAACTCCAGGTTAAACAAGTCTCCATATCACCATTGAATCTGGTATGAACATAAAAAAGATCATACCTCATCTTGAGTTGGCATTGTTGCCCACTTTACTGTACCTTGCATGGCAGTGTTGTAAGGAAAAGAAGATTCAGAGTTAGGTATTTCATTAGCTTTAAAGTTGTAGGGAAGTCATATTTAAGTGTCAAAACTTTCTGGCTTAAAACATGTATATAAATGTACTCTTTATCAGACTATATTGTTCCAAAATTGAGAAAATTTCTATTTAAAAAAAAATCCTGTCTTAAAATCTGTGGGTTTTTTCCCCCATTATTTTATGCAGGCCAGTTAGTTATACGTCAGCCTGTACACCTAAATTCGGCGAATCATATATCAACGGTCATCTGTCAATCAAATTTTTTCAGTCATAGTATCATATGTTGCATCTAATATTTCCAATACTTGAATAAGAAATAAGAATCATTATTTACTTTACCATTGAGTTACGTCCCAGTGTTCACGGGAATGGACGTCTATGTCTTCGGCAGGCGTAGAGCTAACAGAACTGGCAGCACTGACTCATCCAGGACCTCTGACACAAAACTCTCCTCCTCTTGCATTGGGAACTTACTAGCACTAGGTTGCTTATTGGTTAGCATGATGCTTACCAGCCACAGCCAAACTTGCTTGCGAACCTTCCACCACAACAAGCCCGCCCTCTTGATAAATGACCACTCACATTCACTTTATACTCGTGTAAAGTCGTGCACCATTCTGGAGAATTCGGAAATGCAACGGTTGCCATTTCCCTACTACTTTAAGTCATAGGGCCTGATCTTCAAAGGATTCTGCAACTTAGAGCACATTTGCAGAGACAATCTTATAGGAAGGCATAAAATGATTTCAGCATGCAACTCAGCAGCTTTTTCATTAATATGCAGCTCATATTCTGATCGCCAAAACATGGGAAATTATGGGTGGAGGATATCCAAATGTAGATAATTGACATTTTCACAAAAATTTTGAAATCTTAAACTCAATGGCACCCACGTTTATATTCCTTCTAAGCAACTTCAATCAACAGACAAAGGCAACTTTCCCATGTTTTATAATTAGAATAGAAAACAAAAATCTCTTTATTATCCCAAAATGGGGAAATTGTGGTGTTACAGTGGCAGGGGTCCATCTTACAAACAGGGTGTAAAAATCTTTCACTAAAGGAGCTGCTCAGCTCCTCTACAGTCTGGTGCAGAGAGTGGAAGATGCTATCCATGACGGATGTAAGATTGGACAGCACCCTCCTCTCGGTGACTTTCCCCACTAAGTCCAGAGTGTAGCCTAGGACAGAAGCAGCCTTTCTCACTAGTTAATCACAGAGCTGGCCTTCCTGATCAACTTATCTAGCCCTTTTATAATCCATTATCCATTTCATAATTAACCTAATGTTTTTGTCTTAATAAGATCATTGATATTACTTTGGACAAAATATTGTCATGATTACCTTTCAACTAAATGGTTTATGTTGGACTCACACTGAATGCAGTGTAGCAGCGGTGTAAGTATCATCAAAAATCATACACTCATCGCACTCTTTAGGCACAGGAATGTGAACGCATGTATAGAGGCGGTACAGATCATTGTAGGGATTCTGTAAGAAGTTTGACTGGACACAGCAGAGGTCTCTGTATCAAGCTACTGAATTTCAGAAGCCAAGCAGGAAAAGTCAAGCACCAGACAGAAACAAGTCCCAATGAATTTTAGAATAAAATCAACCCACTAACCTGCCCTAACAAGAAAAGCAAAATCAAAAAGGAAAAACAAAAACACAAGAACACAGAGTGGATATTGGAGGATCAAAGGAACATTCATGTGCTTGGACACTGAGTTTTGCCCACCAATATTTGGAAAGAACATCAACCCATGTGGACTTATTTTCACTAGAGTGCTGTTTCTTTAGCTAGAGCCACAGCAGTGCCAGTCTGGTCAAGGCATTCAGTGTAACTTATTTTCTGCACCATCCCTAGAGCTATACCAGGGCCTCATCATATTGAGTATGTTCCCCCATTAAAACTTTATTTTTTAACCACTCTCAAACTGCTAACAGTTCTGCTTATTTCAATAGGGCACAACCAAACCCGTTTACATGTCTTGTCATTTGTACAAGTAATCTTTGTAGATCACCCACAACGTGCCCACCTAATGCATGCACAAAAATATTTGAAGATCTGGCCCTAAAAAATAGGAAATCAGAGGATGTGCAATAGATACTTCAAGCTACAAACTGTACCTTCTAATGAAGCATGTCAAAGTTCCAGAGGCAAACTAGAGGTATTTTTTTGGCTTCAGGCAAGACATTTTTACAACTTTATTAGAACAACAAATAAAATACTTGACATAATGAGTTTGGCTTTGATGACAGAAATTTTATATAATACTGTTTTACAGCCTCCTTTACATTTCAAGCTGTATGTGTGTCCAGTTTTTCCACATATTTAATTAAGGTCACAGCAGTCCCTCTTCAAAGATTTTCATTAGAGTCAACAGTGGACGTGTCAGGTGTGAGCAGAGAAAATAAGTTAACACATAAAATCTCTATTAAAGCAGCCTGATAAGGTAGGTCTTGACAGCACAGAGGGGATCATCATATTAATTAGAATAAGGTAAATTCCATTAAAACTTGCTATCTTATTTCCTCATTCAGCCAAAGGAAAAAACTGAGAACAAGACCAATTTTCCAGAAAACCTGAAAAAATAATTAGGAATTGTGCTCATTCAACCTTGAGCCTGTTGGGAAGCAACAACTCCCAAAGGAAAGTAATCCAGGGATCCTTTTGATTGTGAGCCCTTACTAAAATTCTATATAGGAAAGAAATTATGTTTTGAGGTGAGGAGGTTCTTGCCTGCTTCCTGTTGTTGTTGTTGCTGTTGCTTGTTTGTGGGCAGGCGTGCTTGGTACTGACTCGGCAGACATTACTAATTAAGGTCAGCCTCATAAGCTAGAAAAGCGGAAAGATTTAATACAAATGTGTTTATACTTAAAACCTACCCTTCACTATTCCCTCTTGCACTCACAGGCAAACACACAAAGCTTCCCTAACTCCTGTGACATGCACGGTTTGTTGCATTACACCAATGCATGAGCAAGGGATGAAAGCATTAGAGAACCTCTGTAATGAATTGAACAACTAGGACACTACTCATTATAGATACATTTGTGTTCACATGAATTGGGCGTATTATTATGTCTAACCAGCATATTCCACTGCAAGCCACTGAAATCATAGAAGCGTAATGTGCCCAGAGAATCTGCTCAGTAGTTAATCTGAATGTTTTAAATTGCTCCCACTGTCTTTATATTCTTTCATGGTTGTGACATACAAGTTAAAATGCACAAATATCCTATTTAAACTCTGAGGATGAAGGCACAGAGCAATTTATTTGTGTTTAGATAATCTTAATTGCATTTTAATATTTTCTTTAAAATATATTAACTCCTTTTCAGTCTGAGATTAAACATGCATGCTCAAGTGAGGTGCAAATTAAGAACAGAAATTGCTGGCACAAAGCCTAAACAAATGTATTATAACAAATCAAGCAAATCAGCCATACTCAACAAATCCTTCATAACTCAATCTGCCCGTTGCTTCTACCTTGCAGCTGCTAAACTCCAATCTACCTCAGGGTGAAAATTGCACAGTAGCTTGGCTTCCTAAGGGTTCAGTTGATTAACACTTCCTGGAGTTTAGGGCCATGGTTCAAATTCCAAACAAACATTAACAGATATTCAATTGCATATTGTTACAAATTTTCAGAATAGATTTTATTCATAGTTTTTTTTTTTGGCTGAGGTCACAATTTCAGACACCTTATCTGAGCCTCATATAAAAAAATATGTGATCATCATAATGTTGGAATAGACCGTTTTTGACCGTCTCCCTGATGATCTAAGGTAAAGTCAACTTATTTTGAGGTAGCCCTCCATCTTCATTATTTCATTTTCTATGTACAATGCATTTCAACCAGTTGCAGTGAAACAGAACCTCAGTATGCTTTCCACCATTTCCCCCCGTTGACAGTCAGTTTTGTCAAGTGGTTTGACAGCGTCACATTAAATCTTCTACAGATGTTTATACTAGTCAAATATCTCAAACTTTGTCTCATCTGACCAGAAAACTTTCTAAGAAGAAGCATTTGGCTGGTTAAGATTGGAGAATACAAGTTTTTGTTTTGCTTGAGGGTGTGAGTTATCAAGGAGGCACTTCCTTCCAAAATGATACTCTCTAAGCTCAGGCTGATGTTTACCTTGCTTCACTGTAGACACTCATACTGGTCTTTCATAATTTTCCATTTCATTAGATGTTTGAACTTGTAATTGCTGTTTCAGGTTTTTCATGAACATTCGATTTCTTCTCATCTTAGGGTAGCAGTTTTTGTTTAATGGATGCTGGAGAACATTGGGTTTTCCAAACATGGCTGTGGTCCAAAATGAAAATCAGCATTGGTATTAAATGGTTTGTCACAACCAAATTGAACATTTGTTAGCCGTAGCTAAAAGGTGTACTCATACTGGTCAAAAAAACAACAAATAAAACTTGTGAGAGGATTGGCAAAATATCCTGTCGTTATTATGCTAAGACCTCATGGTTAGAAAAAGCCTGTAACTTTCTTAGGATTGTTTATCAAATTATTGGAGTAAAACACATATTTTTGTGTTTGTTACGTTTGGTTTGTTCTTTTTTTACACCCTCTAGTGGTCTGAAGTACATTTAATGGCCATGTTTGCTGCTGTCTTTACCATTTGCATAATTTTCTTTCTGTAATTGCCGTATTTAGATTTTTCTCACTGCATTTTGTTTGTGGTTGAAGCATTTATTCTTTGAGACTCATTGCCGTATGTATGTATTGGTCTTTATTTTTAGTGATTACAACATTTCTTGTTTGCAGCATTTTTCTGCTGCGTTTGTTTTTATCTGGTTGTCTGTTTTTGCATTACACATGTTTTGTCAGCTTGTTCCTCATTTACTGTGCATTTGCACCTGTCACCCACCCTATAGAAAAGAATACAAGGTGTATTTAAAATGCTTATATCATAAAGCCTAATTTTTTTTGGTAGCTAGTTGTTTTCAAGCGTAGCAAACCTAGAAGTTACCATTCTAGCAATTCTAGTGGCAAAAAGTGAAACTGTTTTTTATATATTTACCAAAATGGGGAATTATGCTAAAGATAAAAAAAAACTTACCTCGCAGGTTAAATATTGCATTTTTTGCTCTAATTCTGACTTGCAATGTTGCTCTTATGAAGACCGTTATCAGGATTCAAATCTCTGCTAATTTATATTAGGGAGCCATGCAGTTGCTGTGTAAGTCTCACTTTTCTTGACATTTTTGGTATATTTTCTTGGCATTAGAGTGGGACTATGATACAGTAATGTAGTTGTTAAATGATTATATTTAGGGTGTTATTGCCGATAATATCACCAAGCTCAATCAAGGCCTAAACAGACGAAAACAATTTTGAGTCCGATACAACAAAATATCTTATTGTAACAGGTTGTGGCAATGAGAGAGTGAGAGGGAATGGGAATAAAAACACCTGACACAATTTTCTGTAAGGGACTTTTTGCAGCTCTGACTGAGATAGACACTAGGTCTATTTTAGTCGAACTTCACAGCAATTCAGCCGCAATTTCATGTGTCTGACAGAAAAAGGGATACATTTTCAAATTAAACACATCTGCTTTGGGGGAAATGCTAAGTAAAATCTCTTAGTTGCCAAGGAAAAAACAGTAAGGTTATCGGTTTGGAAACACACAGTGTGTACTTTGCAGGCAGGGGGGACTCAGCCATAAACAATTCATTAAACATTTAATCGAAGAGAATACCTTACCTATAATAGGAGTTCAGTAGAACAGACAATAGATGAAGTAAAATAGCGATCCTCTTTGAGCCACAAAAAAAGAATGTGCTTCTTATCACGTTCCCATTTTTATGAAAAAAAAGGCATACTTCAACAAACTTCACAGACAGCTCTCTGAGAATCACCTCTCACTACCTCACCCAGTTCCTATATAAATTGTCCAACAGCCCATATTGCTGTGCGTTCCTTTTGTTTAGACGTGGTTGCCATTCTGTTTTTAACAACGTGTATCTGTTCTGGTTTAAAAGCATGCTGTGCAGGCTGGCCATGAAGTAGAGCTTTGCTTTGTAGACACACTGTCTGTTTACTTATTTCTTCTTTTTTTTTTTACTTTTACTAATTTGACATAGTCAATGTGTGACATTGGTTCAATTTCTGGGGCACAGAGACAAAAGTGAAAAAAAGTTAGGGATCTGTTCACCCATTGTATAGTTCTCTATACACACTGTATACAAACTGCAGTCAGTGTGACAAGGAGAAAAATGTCTTGAAAAGTCAAATGCAACCGGTGTGGCCCGGGCTTTATTCTTTGCATTCAAATTCCCCACATCATATTTAGCCTTAAAAAGTCACATCAAACTGAACGGCTTTATATTTTGAAAATGATGGGTGTTACAATGCTTAGATGTCGGCTATGGCCAATATTCTCTACTGAAATTGGCTTATTTAAAGACAAAAGAAATCAATCAAAGAAGCAAATGCTTGTTTAAATGCAATCAGGTAAAAAAAGAATTTGCTCCAGCAAGCATTTTTTGCTTTTTGAGTCTGGTCTAGTGCCCGTGTCATGATCTTGTACCTAATAATGGTCTGATTACTCATTTTATTTACCTACCTATCTCTGCCCAGTTCTCATTACTATTCATCTGATCGACCTGCTTCAGCATCTATTTAACCAGTCTTCAAACCACTTCAAACCAAATAGTTCTCTAGCATTCCTTTGAGTTTCTAATTGCCTGATCCTGACCAGTTCTGCCTCTGGACCTCTGAGCCTGCCTGTCCTCGTTCTGACCTTTTTGCCTGACATGTCTTCAGACTCCTGCTAGATTTCTGCCTGCCTGTTTACCAAACCTCGAACAGTACCCTGACTCAATTCATACCTCTGATTTCCTGGTTCTGATTACCATGCATGTCTTTGACCCCAGCTTTGGGTTTGTCCTCTGGATTATCCTGCGTTCCTTGGTCTGCACGGCTCTGGTCTCCTGCTCACTCCCCAACCTCCGACCAGCACTTGGAACTTTCTGGGCTGTAACCTCAACATCTCGTTGGCAGCCTACCACCTAAAACCTACCTTATCCTCTGGGCTTGGACTGAACTATAAGACCAGGTTAGTGACTCACACATTCATCATCATCCTCTGCCATTTAGACATGGTTACTGACCTGGTCTTCTAGTCCAGTCCGAGTTAGTGACTCACAAGTTCATTATCATAATTCGCTATATTGACATGGTCACTAACCTGTGCTCTCCTGCAGAGGTTCCTGCCTTAGATGCCAACGCTGTTCTCTTCAGTTTCGTCTTAAATAAACGATTTGTTAAATGTGTCTTTCCACCTCGGATACTGGGTCCTTTTGTTCTGAGCTTTACAGCACGGTTTATTTTGGTTACTCTATTTTGGTTTTGGTTACAATGGATGTTAAGCAGTTTTTTTAAATGGCTGCGTCGTGTGCTTTTACAAGGGACCAACTACTATGAAACAAACCCTGTACAACTTGATTGACTATGAGAATTGTTTTCAGCGCAGATTGTAAACAACAGGTTGTTTTGCCCGAGAGAGGCTGCAGGCAGTTTAAAGCATGATTAAGTCCAAAGGCAAGGTGGTGAAGGGACTTGAATGTCAACATGAGAACTTTATACCAGCCTAACATCACACCACTGCAACAGCGCAGCTGTAGAGGTATTCAGCAGCACCAAATCCCTGGGGGTGCACATGACAGACAATGTCACTTGACTATAAACACCTCACTGATCGAAAGGGTACAAAAGCGCTTGTAATTGCTGCGGAGGATGAGGAAAGCCCACCTGCCCCCATTCATCCTCATGACCTTCTACAGAAGCACGATAGAGAGCATTCTCACAGTGTGGTGTGAAGGCTGCAACACCTCAGACTGGAAGATTGTGAAGAGAGTGGTGAAAACAGCAGAGAGGATCATCGGCGCTCAACTCCCCTCCGTAAAAGACATTTCATCCCAGTGCTGCATGTCCCGAGCCCGTATCATCATCAGCGACCCCACACACCCCCAGCATGGTCCGTTCTCCATGCTGCCCTCTGGGAAGAGTTTTTGCAGCATTCAATGCAGGACCAGCAGGTTCTATAACAGCTTTTTCCCCATTTCCATAAGACTGTTGAACTTTTGAAAACTCTAATCAAAGTCACAAAACGGGACTCTTGATCACACTGTAAACATTATACATGCACTACATAGTGAATATACAAAATAGAAAATAGGGGGGAGCCTGGCCTTTGAAACAGACTGGGTAGGGATTACGTTCTTTAGCCCTGCCCTGTCATGCTTGCACTGATCTGTGGTGCAAATCATCACAGCTAGATTGCCAGCAACTGTGGTTGTCTGCTGCTGCCCGTCAGATTTACTTGTCCCATCTCCTTTGCTTTACTGGACTTGACTCGCACATTTCAGTCTCTGCACTTGTTGAATTTAATGTCTTATAAATATTGGCACTAAACAATGCCTGTCTCTTGACTTCTGTCACCTCTAGGAGCCAGTACTGACAATGAGCAGGAGCAACACTTGCAAAAAGGCTTTTATTTTACTCAACCAGAACACGTAAGGAAATGTGCTGTACTAAAAGAGAACATATAAAATGTAAATATCAAAATGTCACCTCAGTAGTCTGGCTGTTGTTCCCTGCTCATGCTGTTCATAAACTGTGTTGTGTAAACTTCTGTCAGCTTTTGGACATTCCGTCCAGATTCAGCTGTTACATAATCGCAGAACAAAAAACTAGTTCAGATGAAGAGACCATTTTTTTGTGTAAAGATCATATTGGCCCGTTTACTTCTTTGTGGCTCTAACAGTTATGGGGGTTTGTTTTACTGAACAGATTATTTTACAAGGATAAGTGTTTGCTAGGTTATAGAGCAAGACCAAAAAGCTTAGAAATATCCTTTCAAAAAAGCTTCTTAAAAAAAAGAGGAATAAGGTTTAGGGTCTATGTACAATTGATTTTTTTTATATAAATTATGATTTTCAGGCTCTATTATAATATTGAAATTAATAAAACAATTAATAATCATTTTATTTGTTAAAAAAGTGTAAATGTTTCTTGTTATAAACGAAACCTAATGAATGACAAGGGAAAAAAATGACTTCTTGTATGTTATTGTGTCTTCAATAATTTCTTTTTTTTTGTGGGGTGGTTGGATGGGTCACACAAGGAATGATCAACCTCCTTGTTCACTTGCCCCTTTGTCTTGGGCTAATTTCATTTTGTCCCCAAGAATAGGACTCCCAACCACCATGTTTACAAAGGGCCCTCAAGCGTGACCCCTCATTATGTACAGTCCCTCCTCTTACAACTGAAAAGGCCCCTAAGGGCATCGAGCATCAAGTGTGGAAAAAAAAAAGCTCACACAAATGCATTTGCATTTGATTTGATTATCCTTCATGGTTGATTCATGGCCCCCAGGAGCTTTTGTTAGGACTTTTATACGAGGCCTATCTCTAACTACTTTTTTGCGTCTCATGAAAGAGAAAAAGAAAACCCATATTTGCTTTGTCTCTCAGATTAAGTTTGCACATCACCAGTGAATAATTTTAGATATTGCTAACTGCATTACACCTTGAAAAACAAAAATAAACAGAAAAACATGCAGTATAAGAAAAGTGCATATGCACACACTGTTGGTTAGCCATCTTATAAATTTATTAGATTTTAATATCTAAAATTAACACTTCAAGTATAGTTTGGACTAATAATTACCAATGCTTTAGAAAAGAAGGATTTCAACACCATTACACATAATGCTGAGGAATTGCAGAAAATCTTAAACTTCATTCTAGATTAATATACAGACTCCTGATAGTGAACTAAAATACAAAATAATGGAAAACATATTTATTTGCACAGGACTAAGACCTCTAGTAGGACACTCATTTTGTAAAGAAAAACAAAATGGGAATTTGGTATAATTACTCAATGCTCAACAAGGAAATAGTGGTTTACAGTTTCTAAGCACACAGGGCCAAATTACATTAGATCTTTGCTTCTCACAGATTTGGCCTATCAAGTTCCTAACATATTCATGTCATTTTTTTGAAGGATTTGGATATCAGATTATCTGTAGATTGTATCATAGAAACGCATATTAAAGTAAAAATGTCTAATGGTTGCAAAATGTAAACAAAAATCTACATCATAATGTATTTTCATCGTTTTCCTTTTCTTGAATAAGTAGTAAAACCATATATTGGTCCAAAAATTCGTGTTACAAAATTAGGAAAGAAATTAGGACTACACTCATTTTTTTGTTAAATGTTTAAACACCTATTCTGGAGTCGGAACACATTCAGAAAAACTGAGCAAAGATCTGATTGCCTCCAGTTTAAGCCTACTTTGTGGTTTTTATGACCCAGATGACTGAAATTTTTCACAGACATTAGCAAAGATAAGCTCACTTTATTTTTTCCCAATTGATTAAAATTAGGGACTTAGTAAATTCTAATTTCATAAACCTGTTGCATAAATCTGCAATTTTCCTCAGTTCACATGACGCACATTGTAAATATCAATCAGACCTTCGATTGCACCTCCTAACAAATCAACAAATTAAAGCTGGATCTAACAAAAGACTCTCTTACATTCTACATTAACTGTCAGACTATCTGCATATATATATATATATATAACAAATCAACAAATTAAAGCTGGATCTAACAAAAGACTCTCTTACATTCTACATTAACTGTCAGACTATCTGNCAGGGATATCTTGGAGCTGATGACTCTGATTAATCATTTCATTCATCTTCATTCATCAGCTTCATTCATCTGCCTATCTTCACCAAATTCTCATTACCATTTATCTGATCCACCTGCTTTAGCCTCTGTTTAACCATCCTTCATCACTACCATATTATTTGAGCCTTAAGTAAGAGTTCTATAGCATACCTGATTGTTTCTGATTGCCTGATCCTGACCCGTTCTGTCTCTGGATCTCTGAGTTCTCTGCCTGTCCCCATTCTAATCTGTTTACCTGACATGTGTTCAGACTCCTGCTGGATTTCTGCCTGTCTTTGGACCAAACCTGGAATTTTTTTCAGCATATCTTTAGACCTCTAATCTCCTGGCTCTACCGAGCATATCTTCGATATGGATTTGACTTTGCCTTCTGGATTATCCTGCCTTCTTTGTTCTGCTCAGTTCTGATCTCCTGCCTGTTCTCCGACCTCTGGGACATCAGCGCCTGGGACTCTCTGGGCGGTACCCGCATCTTGTTGGCAGTCGACCAGCTGAAACCAGCCTCATCCTCTAGGCACGGACGGACCTATAAGAACAGGTTAGTGACTCACACGTTTATTATCATCCTCCGCCAGATAGACATGGTCAATAACCTGTGTTTTCCTGCAGCAGCGGTTCCTGCCTTAGATCCCCACTGTGTTCACTGCAGCTCCTTTTTTAATAAACATTTTGAGAAATCCAACTGTCTGTCTGCCTGGATTACTGGGTCCAATCTTTCTGAGCGTGACATATGTATAATTTATGCATTTTGTATATTTATTTCACTATGTATCTTTCCCGGTCTCATTAAAGCTATTGGACACAGATCCGATTTGATATTAGATCCTGAACTACAACATTTTGCTTCTTGCTGAATCTTTTTGGCAAAAAAAAATGCTTAATGTCATATAGCAGAAATAAGGTTTTATGCTTTTGCTGTAAGTCTCTTTCATTTTCTTGTTTGCTGCGTGCATGCGAGCTACAGTATGTGTATGCTTGTTTGTGCAAGTGTGTACGTTTCCATGTACGAGCACATGTCTGCAGGGCAGCTGTGTCCTCAATATGTGGAGACCTGACCCAGCTGTCACAAAGCATACTGTGTGAGGTCTCTGAAAGCAAGGAAATGAAATGCATGTTCTTCACTCCACAGGAAGTGGCAAAGAAATATCAGTAGTTTTATTAACAAATGAGTTGAATGTGAACACATATCACATTTAATATCTCACAGAAAAAATGCTTCTTTTTAATTTTATGCACAAAGGGGCACAAAGTAGCTACTCTGGATGTAAGAAAACGTGATTTTTATGAAATATCTTGTACATCCACATAAGAATTTTCAGAATAACTGTATTGTATTGATGCACGGAGGAATATTTGGAAGGCCACAGTGAATCTGTGAAAGAGATGCTCTGTTTGAGGAAGGACATTTATTTCACTATATTAAGAAAGGCAAGTTTACTTTAAAGCACATTTCAGTAGTAAGACTATTCAAAGAGCTGTATGTGAAAAAATTACTAGAAACAATCAAAATGAAAAATATTTTGCAGAGTCATATAGGCAATTAAGTAGTTAATGAGTATAATTGATTTAAGAGAATAAAAATTAATCAGAAGGATTATAAGATATAAAAAGATATAAAATGATTGATAATAGAATTGAAATAAAGCTTCAGCACTTTTTATCGTTTTTTGAGAGTTTATGTAGTATAAGATTATTAGAGCATAACCTGCTTCTCCATGCTTGGTTCTGGTTTTGAGACTACAAAGTATATTTGAGTCAGAAGACTTGTGAAGTATCAAACTACTGAAGGCATTATGTGACAGCGGCGCTGGATGCACTCATTAAGCATTAGTCTGGCAGGTTACTTGAGAGCTTTTTTTTAGAAACTTCTCATGTGTGGTCAAATCATTAACCAGGTTGCTTAGCCCTAAAATCGACTTGGTCTGGAC